GAACCAATACGGCTAGAAGAAAATTTCCAGAAGTTCCTGGGCAGCGGTGGCCAGGGTTGCCTCTGTCCTTCACGCCACTGTCAGAGGGCGGCCAAAACTATGGAGTCCTGGCTTCCTCTCAGCTCCTTCCACTAATTCAAAAATCCAAACAGAAAGCCAAGGAGCATCAATGAAAAAGGATGGGATTTATGTACAACAGGGGCTCATCCCAGAGAACTGCAGTTGTTATTTATTGCGGGCTGGGAAGGAGTAGGTACTCTTGACAAACACGGGGACCAGAACTACCAAAACAAGTGTCCATTTTGGATTGTATTCAAGAGAGAAAAGAGCTAAAAGAGGCAAGTGGATTTTTGATTTGCCCCAAACATGTTTTAAAGATAAATAAATAATATTTGTTTTGTCTTCTGCTTGTTTTCTGTACAGCCGTTGAAAGCAACAAGGAGCCTTTCTTTAAAGTCACCTTGGACTGGGCTGAAATCTCCGACACATGTTGGACTTCAACCACATACAAGGTCAGGATCATTCTGCACAGCAATATGCTTTACAGGAATCACATCTGCACCATGACAGAGTCCTCTGAAATCAGGTATATTTTTTCCAAAGTTTCGGAGAAATCGTTTCTGACACCCCACAAAGAGTGGCCAAACTTTCTGATCAGATAAAATATGACATCCTCTTCCCTGAATATAAGCACAGTTGGGTTTCACAGCTGGCTCACACACTGTAGGACAGTGCTAACGCCAGAAGGGTGGTCCCACTAACAGTCATGCTTCTGGTAATGTTAAATACTGGCTGAAAATTACATTTCGCTTCAATTCATGCAGGGTTAATTTTCAGCTTGATCAGAAAACTTTGTGATTGCCAGTGTCAAGAGAAAGAAAGAGGTTGTATCCTGCAGACAGGTCAGGGAGAGAGAAGAAAATTGCCCTTTTCCCTAACAGTTAAATCAAACATTAGCTTACAGCAATCGTGAAACCACAGGCCAAGGCACAACACAGACAAACGTACAGTCTGAAAGTCCACATCCCTCTAGACAAAGAGAATGGAGGTGCCAGCAGAATGCAATCACATTGCAATTTTACAGGGTGCAATATTAAGGAGACAGTCAGGCTTGTATCTTGAAAATCTGGAAGACTCTGAGGATGACCTCTTTAGCACAAAAACAAGGCAACACAGGATCTGCCCTACACCTCTACAAACTTTAGGAAAATAATCTTATATACAAAGTAAAAAGCCATAAGATTCTTTTGCAGTATTTTCAGAGTATCACATTTTCTTTTTCTGCATCAATGACAAAAACCCAACCACCTCAAGCACTTATAGAGCTATACAGAGCAATCCCCTTATAGATAAGATCATTCCTAGGAGAGAAGGAATGCTGATCTGTGTATTAGAGGCTGAACAGAGATGACAACCATATGTCACTTGGCAGAAGTTGGGCGTTTGTTTGTTGCTTTTTCAGTATCCCAAATGTAATGAATTATAAAATAGTGCCTAAATTAATAGTCAAGGAGGACTTTATCAGGGCCCCACACTTAGGAGATGCTCATCTGGGAGAATCTCTTTCAACTCAGACTATTTGCCTTGATCAAAGGTTCTTGCTTTTGAATAGACTTCTGTATAATACTCAGACTCAAGAGCTTCATGGAACAAGAGGCAGGCTGCCTCCCAGAGAAAATTCGAATCCCAGTGAGCTGCCAGTCTCATCTTGAAGGCAGGAGGTCCAACTGTTTGGAAAGCAGAACTTTTGAATATTAATACACTCACACAATAATGAATGATAGACTGCCAGTCTGTACTCTTCAGCAACTTGGTACCATCTAGATTTATATTTGAAAGGTCTTTAACTGCAGCAGAATGTACATATTTGATGTTTAATGACATTAGAACAATTAGACAAGTCCATTATCTCTGCTGGGGGTAGGAGGGCTGAAACGACATTAACTTAACTTCTGGAGAGAAGATAAGGCAGTGCCACAGACAAAGCTTTTATGCTTTTGAGTAAGTGCTAAAATCAAGTCCAGCATTCACCTCCTATATGAGACACTAGATTCACCCAAAGAGTGTGCTGAATTTGATGAATAAGATATCTTCCTTATTTATCTGCTTAGTAAAAAACTTTTCTTTGATAGATCAAGTCCTGCAATCCCATAAGGCTGGCTAAATAGGACTTACAATCTTATTTTACACACAGCTGAACTTCGGGAAAGGAGAAAAATATCATAGGTCAGAGAGACAACTCTCACTTTCAGCATTTTTAGATAAAACCACGTTTCCCACAGCAAGCTAAAAGCAGGGAGTAGATACAAATCAAGGCAAAGAAACAATTCCACCTTAAAGATCTTCTACTGCCAACTGCTCAAACTTGAAAGGGTACATAAACACACTATCCCTATTTTACAAAACAAAGAAACTTGAATTTGGGACCTTGTGGACTAGGTTTTCCTCAAATCAAGAAAGTGGTAGAGATGTGATAAGCTTTGCAAAGATCTTGAACAGAGATTAGCATTAAGCAACCATAAAAATAGGTAGGTAAAGCAACCTGCCCAAGCCTGGGGTATGCAAAGTCTTCAGAGAGGACTGCCATCTTTGCGGATAAAGTCATGCTCTCACTTTCGGCAAATTATTACAGAAGAACTCTTTGGAAATTCTATTAAGCCAAGCTTAGATAAAGGCTTAGGTATGTTTACACCAAGGACTGCAGTGTCACATAGATGCCTGAGAGTTGTGAATGACTCGGGTATCTACACAGCTCAGTGTCACGCGGAGATATTAGCTCGCATCCCAGAAGGAATATAGCCACATTAGCGTGGCTTTCTGCCCAGGCTAATTAGGTGATGTTTCCCCAGTTGCCAGAAATCAAAGAGTGAATCATACATCTGCCAGCACCCAACCTTCTTCTGAAAGCACAGACTGGAACTTTTTTGAACCTCGGTTATATGAGAATGCAAGGTGAATATAAAGACATAATGTCATCACTTTATTCTGCTTTAAAGCCAGAAGGAATCATAAATTCACCTGATATGACCTGTTATCACAACTACTACACCTCATCCACATACTATCGTGTCCAGCGTATGAACTTCAGCCTAAAGCACTGAAGTCCTTTAGAGACTGACCTACTGTATGTGTGCCACAGGCAGAGCTCAAACGTACACTGTCAAAGCCAAGACTACAAACACGGCAGACGACTGATTAGGTGGTAGTTGCCCAGATTATTTCAGCAGAAATCCATTCCTCATGCTGCTCTGGAAGGTGAGGAATCCTATACAGTTCCCAGCTCTGGCAATCAGGATGAATCCCAACATGTGAGCAAGACACATGAACCAATTACCCTGAAAGAGGATTCTCTGCTACATCAATCCAACCAGCCCATTACAAAGAAGCCAGCTTCTGGTGATGGCAAATTTCTGACAATTCAAAAAAAAAAGAACAAAAAAAGACCTAAAACCAACCAGGGTAGGGAGAAAACCTCCTTCCTGATCCCTACGAGCAAACCACAATGGCCCTGAAGCATGATTTGAAGATGATCATTGTCCTAATGCAGAGCTGCAAGCATTTCATGGATGGTGCGGACAAACGACTCCGAATACAACTATAAAGGAAGGAGTTGAAGAGGGAGGCTCGTAAATCAACAGTACAGGCCACCACACTTGACACACAGACATAGAATTCTCCTCATGACTTGAATCAAGCGCCTCTTTTAAAGTCATAAATTATCTCATCTTAAAGGCTCGAAAGGATGGTGATGGAAAAAGACTCCAATGTTTAATTACACTGAGAGCTGTGAAACTCTTTTATTCCAAGGTGGAACTTTTCAAACTTCAGCTTCCAGCTACCGGAACCTGTTATGGCTTAGCAGTGGTTGGCTTGTCAACCTCACTATGAGGTATCTGCTCAAGGTTACTAGATCATAGTGTAATGTCTCTCCAACTAGTTGAACGTGTTTATTCACAGCACCAGGACAGTTTACTAGGCTCTACATCCTTTTTCTGTCCCTCCTTCGAGTCCCCAGCAATAAATCGATGTAATTCCTGGTATGTCAACACAGAAACTGCACAAAATGTTCTGAGATTCCACTAACACTACATACAGAAAATGGCTTTCATACTCCTGACTGAGGCTTCCTTTTTCATATAGGCAGGAGTTGCAACAGCCATTTTTGTCTTTGCATTGTGCTCTGGGCTCACTGGAACACACTTATCCACAATAGCCCCTGGATCCTTCTCAGAGTTACCGTTTCCCAGGATGGTATCACATTTTGAAGGTATCATCTGCATTTTTTTGTTCCCAGATGTAGTAACAAGTGGCGCCATTATGCTCGCTGTTAAAATATTGAAATGAGTTACTGTGTGCAATATTTCTAGGAAATAGTAGAAAGGATGATGTTTATTGAAACTATATAAACACATAAAACGTTTTCTCAACACAGTTTCCCATTTATGTTTACACAGATGTGCATAATGTCATCATGAAGCCTCTTCCAAGAAAGATAAATTAAATCAAAAAGTTCAAATAAGGCAAATAGCTAGAATGCTCTCTTCCATCTTTTTGTTCCCTATTTGTAATCATAAAAGATATTCACTGCCATTAAAAAAAAAATTAAAAGAAAGCAAAAATTTTTATGAAGGATAAAGGTCCTCGGCACAAATAAAATGACCAGCTCTGAAGCTGCAAAGAAATATGCTTTAATTTAAGAGACAAAAGACGGCATTACAGAAGAAATTGTCATAATCAAAGTTGAAAAAAAATTTCTATTGTCTACTGTGCCTCTCTGTGGGAATTTTCCCAGCACAGACAGCTGTAAAGGAGGAGGGGTATTGTGAGTTTCTGTACGCTCATTCTCTCTCTTCCTCTCTTTCTCTGTCAGTAAATGTCTGCAATCATATTCTTGAGCTCCAGTGTGATTTCAAGGTTCATCTCTTCCATGCAGCTCAAACACTAATTATCCCAGCTGTAATTAGTAAGATAATTAAATACTGGCTCACTCATCACTCTACCTTGTGTCGGGTCATGATTCTCCCAGAAGACCTTGAGCAGTTTCTCAAAGCTGATGTTTTCTGGCTGATATACTACTCGTACAGCCTCTGTGTGGCCAGTTTTACCTTAAAAAACAAAATAAAATCAGATGTTAACAGTAAGAATTAGCTAGTGCCTATCCAGTGTTTTATATTGAGATCCAAAGCACAAGCCTTTGTTTTCCTTTTTTTTTTTTTTTCTTAAAGGTGTTTTGTTTTACTGTCATTCATACTTAAGCCTTTTTATACAATATTTTATATACCTGCCAACCTTAAGATGTCTGCTAGTTTGGACAAGGCCATCATGAATTAAACTAACCAGAGAGACAATAAGGCAAGAAAGGGATGTTATTGCAGTAGTCTGTCAGCTTTCAAGAGAAAAAAATGAATAGTTCTTAAATATTTGTAACCAACAATTCACAAAAGATTTTTAAATATTCTAAATATAACATTAAAATACAAAGACGTATATGTCTAAGATGTCTCAACAGTATAAAGCCGGTCTTCATTTCCATAAGGCAATATATGGATAAAATAATTGACTATAAAAACAAATTTCAAGGGCATGTTTACACAAGATCACACAAATAATTTCCAACTATTTCACATTATGCAAACCACTGATGTTAAGGGGCTTCAGAAAGACTCAAAGGGAGCCTGACTGAAATTTATGACAGCAGATGAAGTTCAAGGAAGATCAGCAGGTGTTACAGCACATTAAAACACATTATTCTCATTTTTCACTTATATTACGGCCATGATTTTTTTCATTTCTTACGTGTCTAATCACTCACAATATTATCGAAAGACCCAGCTTCAAAAAATGTGAAGGATCTGGCCACATATTTCACTTCAATTGTAAGCAACAGTTGGATTGACGAGTGCTCAGACATCTCAGGGTGGAAGTCCATTGCACTGAGTGCTACACAAGCATTTTATATTTTATAAATTCTATATATTTTACAATTTACAAATGTAGGCATATTTGCTGTCATAATATATGCATGAATGGGGAAGAAACCTTATCTTATTTTTCAGTTAAATCATAATAAGTAAACACTAAACAGAAGTAAACTGGGCAGCCAGATCTGCCTTTTGGTGGGGACTTAATAAGCTCCTTGATCACATTAGACTAGGCTTTTATTTCATTTATACCAGCATAAACTTCAAATTTACAGAACTGACTTCAATAGAATTGTTGAATTTCACGCAGTGCAACAACAAGCTGAATCAGGCCCAGTGATAGGTTCTGAATTAGCTGTCACCAAACAAGAAAAATCACAGTCTATGAGTAACTGAGGAGTGTTCAGTAGAAACGGCAATTCAGTACCAACAGAAATTATAATTAAAAAAAAAAAAAAAAAAGAGAAAAAGAAATAAAAAGGATGCTAGGATATATTAGAGAGACATAACAGGGAAAAGTATGACAGCATTGTATCAGTTAATGGGGCACCTGAAATGAAGAAAACCTAAATGAGGCACAGAGGGGTGGACTAGCTATTAAAAGGGATTTAAAAGACTGGGATTAAATTTAGTCTAGAATGCAGAGGAGTAAAAGGGGACACATCTGGGATATCTGTAATGAAAATCTTGATAAAACCAAATTGGTTCCTATCTAGTGTGTTTCACAATGCAACAAAGATATGCTCACTGAGATTAAAAGACAAAAACATACAAGTTTCCTGTAACTTGTACCTAAAGTCATGTCAGCCTGTCCACCAGGGTAGTGTCCAGGCAAACGATGGCCCAATTCCTCTTTCACATGCACTGCGCCTATTGAAGTCCATGGAAGCAACTCATTATCTGAAGTCAAATTCTGATGGTAGGTTAGCAAAAAAGGGATCATACATTTAGTAGGATAAAAATACAAGTCAGAGATAATTGGCTTAATAACAAAGTGAAATGGTCTTCTATATTATGGCCAGTTTAGGTCAGGGGTAGAATTTATTCCAGATTTCATGTTTTAATATGGACTATCAGTGAAAATAATGGGGTTTGCCTTAGCCAAAGCCCAGGTTGGGACTTTTGCTATGGCTCGAGATAAAGAAGGAGTGCAAACAGACAGCGGTTTGTCCAGCTCTCGCAAGAGTACATTGCATAACTAAAAAGAGATTAAGGAGTGGCTTCTGACTTCAATTCTTTCTTTTCTTTTTTTTTTTATTTCTTTTTTTTTAATTTATTTTTTTGGTAAGCCAGTGTGAAGCTTACGAAAGGTTGTTATCACTCAGAAGCAAATTGCTTGTCTAAGATGACTAGCTTTAGATCACAAGAGAGTTTCTTAAAGAACTTCAAAACAACAGAGGCATTACCTTTCCTCTCAATTGAAGCAGCAATTACATCTTGTCAACACTGTCTGCTCTGACTAATCCAGAAGTTCAAAGAATCAGCTTTCTTCTTTTCCTCCGAATAAGAAAATAATGGTGCTACTCTGAAAACTATAGCCTGACCTCGAGAAAAAAATCCTCAGATGCATGGCTAACAGACTGTTAGAACCTAGAGCATATTTAAAATCAATATTCATCCTCAGAGGAAAAGCAAGGAGGTAATGTTACTGGTCCTATCAGATTCACCTCTAAATTTCCGCAAAGCCTTTCCACAATCTAGTGGATTTTCTTTCAGAACACGGCATGGCTATTCCTACTAAGAACAATCTTAGTCATTTGTGCTGAGCACTCCTACTTCTCCACAATTTTAGTGGAAACTATGCCAATTAACTGGGTACACATGAGCAAATAGATAGGTAAAAGGCTCCACGTGGGACAGATTAACCACAAAATTTCCTAGAAGAAGCACAGAGAGTAAATGGCATCAGGGGAGAGGAAAAGAACAAGAGCAATCTCTCCACAGGTGCAATATGTCGCCCTAAGAAGAAATCAAAAGATACCACGAGGTTACCCTAAGTAGCACGTGGAAACAAACAGCTCATCGCTGCCAAATACGACTCAGCTGCAGCCACAGTGGCAAAAGGGAACTTAAATTGGGTTCTCCCTGTTGATCTTCTTATTTCCCTTTTCGCATCAGGCTTAAGTTCAACTATGAAAACAGAATAATCGCATTTCAGTTTGGGTTTCATGCACTTGGTACAGTACAGCACCAGAAGAACCAAGCAGGCATCAAAGGAGCTAACCACTCATCTGTATTGTAAAGAAATCATTGAAATATTTCTAATCAAATCTCTTCTTTTGGTAAGGTTTCTTTAAAGGGAGAGGCAGTGATCAAAAAGAAACAATAAACCCACTTGTTCTCAAAAAAAGCTGCATGTCTTTTAACCAGAAATTTAACAGGCTAACACCAAACAGCTGAAACGATTTAAAATGATCAGCGATAGACGCTATTCTTTCAGTGATATTCAGCTCTTCACCTGAGTGCCTCCTTCAGAATTTCTCATGAAAGGTCCATTTATATCAAGGCAGAGAGTCACGGTGTCCTCAGTTCACCTTTTGCTTTTAATTAGCTGCTCTTTAATATCCCACAGCAAAAGCATGCTTCACTTGAGGTTCCAAAAGTTTTAACAAGTATGAACGTTTCTAGAAGCCTTCTCCCAAAAAAAGCTCAACGTTTGAAACGTGTTCTTGAAATAATTTATTGAATCACTAAATGTAATTTCATTTGCTGGTAACTGTGCAAATAGAAATCCTTTATTTATAGGTGCCATTATCAGATTGCCAGTTATGGAGCTCAGTTCTCCTTCAGCTTTAGAAGGAGCTTAGCCACTGAAGAACCTCGCTGCAGATGATAAGACTTTATTACACCGTGGCAGAGAGGGCTGTGTGCCAACAGCAGATTGTCTGTTTATCCTATATCCATTTCCCACTTAGAAAACATAGCCACTCTCAGAGGATTAGCTACAGTGAGCTCTTTCACTGGGGATTCAAACTCTGGCAAAAATGTTCCTGTAAAGAGCAATAGAAAAAGACATCTGAGTGACACCTCAGTGCTCCTTTTCAATTTTTTTTCTTCCTAATAGTGTTTAGATTTTCACCTTCTTAATCATCTCCCAGGTGAGTGCCCAAGCCGACGGATTATAGAAGCTAACTCATTCTTTTTAACTTGCTGTATCCAGTAAGCACTTAATTATTTCTGGCAAAGTGGAACAACTTCAAAGGGCTGGCTTGAGAGCACCTCACCTGTGAGCACTCAGCCACCCAGCAGCTACGGCACCGCTCCGTAACACGTGGGCTTCATCTCTAGCTAGCCCAGCTCTGGGTGAATTACATTATAAAATTCAAGCAATGCCAAAACTATTCCCTCCTGCCCCGCTTCAATAAAAGAGGACTTGCCTCTCTTTCCCCACCGAAATAAAGGTCCTAAATCCGGTAAATGTCTCAATATAATGTGAAGAAATAGGTGTCAGATCTTTTGCTGATACACATTTCAGAGCTTATTGATTTTGGAGCTAAAGCAATTTGTGCTAGCTGAAGCCTAGGCCCTTGTGAATATGCAAAGTATTACATGAGAAAGTAGGATGTCTTTCGAGCATCTGTTTCTCCAAACGAGCCTGGGAATTTTTATTATGTTGTAGTTCCCGCTAATAAAATTTCCAGATTCTTCCTAAAATAGCACTGTGTTAAATAAACAAACAAAGGTTTCCACACTAACACAATGAAAACCCACACTTTGTGGATCTTTTAGTTTCTCACCTTCAAAGTAATGAGGATGAAAAGAAAGGAAATAATCACAGATCAATAGGTTTTTAAGAAGAGGCAAATAGATAACTCTATTTGAATTCCTGCCTACCACAGAGAGGAATTTCACTGGAGCAGGCCTGTATTCTGAACTTAGAGAAGTAACAGCTCTTGACTCAAAGAACACAGCAGACAGAAAATCCACCAGAAGTCGAGGTAACTTCATCAAGACCTTAATGCCTTTCACTTTTAAAACAAGCAAAGAAGAAAAACAAAGACAACAGACATTTTGTTTATTACCTGAGTTTATTTATTGAAAGATCTTCCTGAACAGACAAAGACCACGAGGAAGTCATGTCTTATCTTTTATTTTTTCCTGAATATTTTAATTGAATCAATCTTCGTAATTAATGACACTGCTGGACACCATTTTTTTTTAATTTTTTTTTTTTTTCTTTACTT